CTACAATCAGCAAATTTTTCTCAACCTTCACACATTACCAACCAAGTTGTGTCACAACCCCATCAGCCAACATTAACTCCTCATTTTTCTTCCACATTAGGTACTCATTTAGCTTTATCATGTACCTCTAAATCTCCACTATGGATAGTGGATACAGGAGCCACTGATCACATTACACATTCCTGATCTTGTTTTGATACTTATAAACAAATTAAACCAATCTTGGTCACCTTACCAAATGGCTCAAAAATCACTACACAATATGCTGGAACAGTTTGTCTTAATGAACAACTCATTCTCACAGATGTCTTTTATTTACCTGAGTTTTCTTTCAGTCTTATCTCTGTAACCAAACTCACATCATCATTGAATTGTTGCTTAATTTTTCAAAGCTCATGTTGCTTAATTCAGGATCTGACTATGTGAAAGATGATTGGTTCAGCTAAGGTGCTTGATAGCCTGTATACAATGTCTAAGTCTTGTAGTTCCAGTTTATGCCACCTACTAAGATCACATTACCTTCTCCAGCTTCATTAGTTTCAACTACTACAGTTTTTTATCTTTGGCATCGCCGCCTTAGTCATATTTCAAACTCTATAATGAAACTTTTGTCTCCTTGTATTCCTAATCTCCAATTTCATAATAATGAAGCTTGCATTATTTGTCATTTGGCAAAACAAAAGAAGTTACCCTTTCCTATTAGTAATAATAAAATAGTTGAATGTTTTGATCTGATTCATGTAGACATTTGGGGTCCTTTCTTTATATGTTCCATTCGTGGTCATAGATTTTTCTTAACAATTGTTGATGATTACTCTCGATACACATGGATCTTCTTACTTAAACAAAAATCAGAAGTTAGAAATCTGATTCAATCCTTTTTCTTCCTTGTTGAAACTCGGTTCTCTAGCAAAATTAAAGCCATTCATACAGACAATGGTTCTGAGTTTGCCATGCCTGTTTTCTATGCTTCTAAAGAAGTTCATCATCAAACCTCTTGTGTTAAGACACCACAACAAAATGGTGTGGTGGAAAGGAAGCACCAACACTTGTTGAATGTTGCATGTTCTCTGATATTTTAGTCTAATTTACCCAAACTATACTGGAATTATGCTATTCTTCATGCCATTGATTTGATCAATAGGCTTCTTACTCCATTGTTACAAAACAGGTCTCCATTTGGATTGCTCTATAACACTACCCCAGATCATAACTCTTTAAAAACTTTTGGTTGCCTTTGCTTTGCTTCCACTTTATTAGCTCATAGAACCAAATTTGATTTCAGAGCTAGGAAGTGCCTTTTCCTTGGTTTTCCATCTAGCACCATAGGCTTTATCCTCTTGGACTTAAATTCTAGAGAAATATTTGCCTCTCGTAATGTCTTATTCTATGAGTCCGTTTTCCCATTTGCTGTCAGTAATCAATCTTCCATTCCATTACCTTAGGATAACACTTTACCAAATTTTGATCCTATTTTATCTTCAACACAATCTAGCCATTTAACAAATTCAGACAATACTTCTGATTAAACCACCACTTTGCCAAACACTGATAGTGATTTAGCTCATTCAAACAATTCTCTTCCTTCTTTTAATCACCCTGTCACCAGATTATCTCAAAGACATCGTAAGCCTCCTTCTTACCTGCATGATTATTATTGCAACCTGGCCACAGCAGCTGAATCCACCAATTCCCAATCAGGCATTCTTTACCCTTTGTCTTATGTACTATCATATTCTGCTTTGTCACCTAAACACTTACATTACACCCTTGCTATTTCCACAACTGTTGAACCAAAGACTTATAATCAAGCCATCAAACACGGTTGTTGGAGACAAGCCATGCAAGCTGAAATTCATGCTTTAGAACAGAATAATACTTGGACCCTCACTAATCTCCCTCTTGGAAAAACTCCCATTGGTTGTAAATGGGTTTATTGGATTAAACAAAAGGAAAATGGCACAATTAAGCGTTACAAAGCTCATTTAGTTGCCAAAGGTTATACCCAAACTGAAGGTATAGACTACTTTGACACATTCTCCCCTGTTGCTAAACTTACCACTGTCAGACTGCCTCTTGCATTGGTTGCTTCCTCAAATTGGCATCTAAAACAGCTCGATGTAAATAATGCTTTCCTTCACGATGATTTATCTAAAGAAGTTTACATGATCTTGCCTCCAGGTTTTAGTTCTTCTCATCCCAATCAGGTTTGTCGTCTTCAAAAGTCCTTTTATGGACTCAAACAGGCTAGTCGTCAGTGGTTCTCAAAGCTTACTTCGGCATTATTGTCTTTCGACTACACTCAATTATCCTTTGGTCATTCTCTTTTTGTCAAACACTATAATGATTCCATTACTGCTCTCTTGGTATATGTCGATAATGTCATCTTAGTAGAAAATAATCTTCAGGAAATTGATCATGTGAAGGCTTACCTTGATTCTGCCTTCAAAATAAAAGACCTTGGTGATCTCAAATTTTTCCTTGGATTGGAAGTAGCACATTCCAAGCATGGCATTACCTTATGTCAACACAAATATACCCTTGATATTTTATCGGATGCTGGCTATCTAGCTTGTCAATCTGCAACCACACCAATGGACTCTTTTGTTAAATTGTCTAACACTGTTGGTGATTTTCTTTCGGATCCTAGTAGAAGAACCTAAGGTACTTACAGTGTCCACATCAGATTGTGCTAAGGAATGGGTATTAGACTCAGGGTGCTCTTTCCATATGAGGCCAAATAGAGACTGGTTTTAGGAGTTTGAAAACTATGAAAATGAAACTATTTTTATGGGGAACAACCATGCTTGTAAGGTGAAAGGCATAGGTAGTATAACTCGAAGGCTTAGTGGGGGGAAACTGATAAAATTGACTAAGGTTAGGTTTATCCCTGAACTAAAAATGAACCTTATCTCATTAGGAACCTTAGATGAAGCTGGTTGTTGCTACAGGGCTGAGAATGGGTGGCTAAATGTGTATAGAAACCAAAATTTAGTTCTGAAAGGAGAAAAAAAGAATAGTCTTTATATCCTATGTGGTGATTTCTACTCTGAATGTTTTAACACTGCTTTATTCTCTACTAACCTGTCTGTGACTGAAAAATTGCACCTCAAAATAGGCTACATGAGTCAGAAAGGGATGAACATCCTTAGTAACCAGGGAATGTTTGGTAAGGATTCAATTTCCACCTTAGAATTATGTGAGAATTGTATCTTAGGTAAGCAACATACGGTGAGTTTCTTAAAGGGAACTCACTTAGCCACTAGCTGCATAGAGTATCTTTATTTTGACCTGTGGGGGCCTAAGAAGATCAGGTCCCATGGTGGTAACAGCTATCTCCTGTCTATTGTGGATGATCAGGTCCCACTAAAGACCAACCACCTAGGTTTAGAGAATGGAAACTGCTTGTAGAGAACCAGTTAGACAAAAGAGTAAAAGCCCTAAGGACTGACAATAGGTTAGAGTTTTGCAATGTTGAATTTGACAAATTTTGTAGTGAGCAAGGTATCCTAAGGCATAGAACAGTAAGAAAAACTCCTAAGTAAAATGGGGTTGCTGAAAGGATGAATATGACCTTGCTGGAAAAGGTAAGATGCTCTTGCTGGAAAAGGTAAGATGCTCGTTATTCACCTGAAGACTACCAAACACTTTCTAGGGGGCGGCCTTGGCTACGGCAGCCTACTTAATAAACAGAAACTCATCCACTACCATAGACTTTAAATTCCCATAAGAGATATGGTCTGGTAGGAGGCCTGAACTTAGCCACCTAAGGATTTTTGGGTGTGCAGCCTATGCACACACAGTAGGAGGGAAACTAGAACCTAGGTCTACTAAATGTGTATTTTTGGGGTACCCAAAAAGGACCAAAGGCTATAGACTATGGGATAAAGAATCACCAGGGGTTAAAATCATTGTAAGTACGGATGCTGTATTTAATGAAGGGGTTTTCCCCTGCAAAGCTAGTAACCATGATGCAAGCAGCCCCAATATCTCTAAAAATCCCATTAATTCCACTGAAATTACACAAATTGAGGTGGAGCCTATGGCACAGTAGGCTGATCCACCTCAACATAAGCTGATCAACCTCCAGAAGCTAAACCAGGACCAAATGGTCCTAAACAAGAAGATGAAAAAGCTACAGAAGACACACCAGAACCCCAACATGATGAATTGGAGCAATACCAACTTGCAAGGGACAGAACCAAGAAAGAGGTAAAGCCCCCTGCTAGATTCTAATACGCTGAACTAATTTACACTACTTTGCTTGCAGGTACAGAGGTGTAGAGAACAAAACCAGACTCATATAAAAAAGCTATGAGGTTCAAGGAGAAGGACAAGTGAAGGACAACAATAGAAGAGGAAATGAGGTCATTAGAGGTAAACAGGACCCGGTCCTTGGTTCCCAAACCAAAGAACCAGAAATTAATCTAATGTTAGTGGCTGTTTAAGGTAAAAGAAGGTATTTTATCCACTAACCCCCCTAGGTACAAAGCTAGGCTAGTTGCTAAAGGGTATGCCTAAAGAGAGGGAATAGACTTCAATGAAGTCTTTTCCCCATGAGTAAAATATAAGACCATTAGACTAATGCTTTCTATTGTTGCCTACCACAATCTAGAACTAGAACAATTTGATGTGACAACTGCTTTCTTACATGGAAACCTAGAAGAAGAGATTTACATGTGCCAGCCAATTGGTTTTGTAGATTATAGGGTGCCTAACCATGTTTGCCTCTTGCATAAATCCTTATATGGGCTGAAACAGTCCCCTAGGCAGTGGTATAAGAGGTTTGACACCTTTATTTTGAGTATAGGGTTTACTAGAAATAGATATGATAGCTGCTTTTATTTTTCCCTGAATGAGAACATGCCTATATATCTATTACTATATGTGGATAATATGTTGTTGATTTTTAAGTCTAAATCTAGAATACATGAACTGAAGAACAAACTCAGGTTTGAGTTTGCATGAAAGACTTAGGAAATGCTAAGAAAATCCTAGGAATGGTTATAACCAGAGATGAGAAAACATGTGAGCTAAAACTCAGTCAATATTCATACGTTAAGAAACTAGTAACCAAGTTTGGAATGGCTAATTCCAAACTGGTTTCTATGCCTCTAGGCAACTATTTTGTGCTGAGTAAAACCCAATGCCCCAAAACTAAAGCTGAATTAATAAGAATGGAATCTGTCCCATATCTTAATGTAGTTGGATCTGTAATGTATGATATGATAAGCAATAGGCTAGATTTATCATATGCCATTTCTATGCAGAGCCGATTTATGGCTAACCCTGGTAGTGAGCATTGGGCTACTTTAAAGTGGGTTTTAAGGTTTATTAACAGCTCACTTGATGTTGGGTTAGAATTTTGTAAAAGACATGATTCACTTGATATGGTTGGTTTTGTAGATTCAGATTTTGCAAGTGATAAAGACTTAAGGAAATCAACTACATCCTATTATTTCACCCTCGGTGGAAATTGCATAAGCTGGAAGTCTCAGCTACAGCCAGTGATAACCCTTTCATCGACTGAAGCAGAGTGCATTGCCATTGTCGATGTGTTCAAAGAGACCATGTGGTTGTAAGGGATATTATCTGAAGCAAGTTTGACTAAGGGGAGGTAATCATATACTCTAACAGCCAAAGTGCAATTCATTTAAGTAAGAATCCAGTTTATCACGAAAGGACAAAGCATGTAGATGTTCGTTTTCACTTTGTGAGGGATCTAGTAATTGAAGGAGTGATTGATTTGAAGAAGGTTGCCACCGAAGACAATCCTGTAGACATGGGCACAAAGATTGTCACTCTTGCCAAGTTCAAGCATTGCTTGGACTTATTGTGTATGAAGTAGGCAGGGGTGGCAAGAGCTATGAGGGACTTGGTTATGAGCATGTTGCATTAAAGGAGTTTCAAGCCTTCAAGGTGGAGATTATTGAAGTGAAGGCTTGAAAGCCACCGCATTGGAGAGTTAGTGGAACGTTGTCGTTTTGGGCGTTTAGTTGAGTTGGATCTTGACCATTGATCCAACACTTAACCAATGGCTGAAATCCTTCCTACAAGTCAATGGTATAAAAGGAGACAAAAAAATCAGATTCATCTAATTTTCTCTTTTGAAGCTTTTCTCTTATTGTATCCATTGCTCTCTGCTAGGGTTTGCGATTGTGTTCTGAAATTTGGTTGTAACTTGTGAGGATCTTGAGTGATTAGGCATTAGTCATTCAGTAAGGGTGTAATTGCTCTTATTCTAGGGATTCCAGGTTTGACTTTCTCTAGAGGTCAAGTTGCGGGTAGTTTCAGGTTGAAAGGGAAAGATTCTTGTGTGAGTTCTTGTAAGATTTGTAATCGTTGATACACTCTTAATAATAGTGCAGCGAGCTCTCCTATTTCCAGAGTTCAACGTGGACGTAGCTTACTCAAATCTTGAGCAAGTGAACCACGGTAAATCTTGGTGTTCTTGTGTGTGTGATTTGTTGATTTGTGTGTGTTTGTGAGTTGTTTGATTCTGGATTGTGGTATAACAGTCATCTTTAGTCGAGGCTCCATGGAGTTGAGTAACCAAGACATCACCATATAATTCTCAGCATCCCACGTTTCTTATTTCGGATCTTTCTCATCTGGTGGTTTTCCAGCTTCACTCACATATATTTAAACTTCTTTTTTCTCTTCAAGGAAATCTTCCCGAACTAAGACCATTCCATGTAGTTCTTCCCATCAAGTTTGGAGGTAGCGATTTGAAGGGTTGGGTTTTCAGTATTGACAAGGTTGAAGGAGTTCTTTTTAGTTAGTTTTGACATTATTTTGAGCAGAAAATGTTGGCGATAAGGTCGAGGATAAAACGACAATGAAGGCCAAAGAGAAAAACGACAATAAATGTAAAGAGAAAGAAACGCCGATGAAGGTCGTGCAAAACCTTAGGCAGGAAACCTAGAACTTTGATACGATGAACATTCTAGAATAAAATGTTTCGATTTTCTTTCTTCACTAAAACACACTAGGCAATATAAAGAAGACAAAATCAGGATCCTAATAACTATTACCTAAACTAGGAAACTATTTACAATTACTGCCTCATTATAGTACTTAATGACAATTAATACTACCTAATTACAGTACTTTCCAACATCAAAAGCAATTCTCAGTCATAAAAGGCCATGCATCCAACCAAGATGAGTAACAAAGGGCACAATAACAACAAAGTTAAATATGTCATCTGCTTCTCTAACCATTAAACTAAGTGTAATTGAGACAAGAAGTATGAACATGAGCAAGCTGACCATTATCAGACATATTTTGAAAATCCATGCATGATAGACACGAAGGGGGGAGGCCACCCACTAGACTTTTCATGCATACCCAATACAAAGTTAAAAATCACCTATTACAAGCCATGGACCTGAAATATTAACATAAAGTTGCATTTGGTTTGAGAGAAAATAGGATTACTCCGGTAATCTTTGTTTAGTTTTAAAGATTCCCTTGTTTGGTTTGCAAGTAATAAAATATTACGATAATCTTCTATTACAAATAGTGTTTACTGTTAGTAATATATGGAGTAATCAGATTACCTTTCCAAGGGGTGCTATTAAAAGATTATCAAAATAATATGATTTTATACTTATTTTTCCCTTAAGTAAATACCATTCTGGATACAATTACCCTCAAATGTCTACCAAATAACAATTACCCAGACCCCCTACATTTGAGAATTTAGCTAAAACACCCTAACCACAAAAAAGTTTAAAAGTTAACAAAATACCCCCAGCTACCTAAGACCACCGCCGGTCGCCCTAATAGTCACCATATCAGCGCATGACTGACGGGATTTAGTCAGCCAGATCCACAGCGATCTAGCTGTTTTCGGCCTTCGATCTAGCCTAAAACAGACAAATCATTGCCAAAGAGTTAGCTTTTTCACAACCAAATCCAGCCGATTGTGCGCCATTCCAACAATTGTCGGTGGTCATGGCTGGCTGCTGACAGTGGTGGTAGGCTGTTGGCAATGGCTTGGGGTGGGGTGGGTGGTGATAATTTTACTACAAATTAAAGTTTTATATGGCTGGGGTGTTTTAGCGAAATTTCAAATGTAAGAGTTTAAAGAAATTATTCAAATAATAATAATAATATAATATTTTAAAAGAAGGGCAATTTAGTAATTTATATAACATACCCACCTATTTACCTTTCAACCAAACATATCAATATAGTATAACCATCAATTTATTCTAACCTAACCAATTACATTTTCCTATACATTTCTAATAATCTCCAAGATAATCTATCTTTCCATTAATATAACATTCTTAGTAATACAATATTCTCGGAACCAAACGCACCTAAAAGGTAGAAAGATTATCTCAAAGATCGAAGAAGCATAAACAAAAGTCATCCAACATGAAACAATATCAAAGGTCGATATAATAATTTGTTGGGAAATAATATAAATAACTGTAGGAACAACCACATTGGTATGGCGGAATAGCCAAGTATTGGGAACAATAGGTTCCATATCATTAGTAGCTATCAAAGACAAATTCAGAGAGTGTCAAAACCAAGATGTGATGAAAAAGAATGAAACCATGGACTCTACAATACAAATAAAGTCCAAATTTAAAATCAACAAATAGCTAAAAATTTCAATTGTATTTGAGGGTTCGCAATGCCCCAAAGATTCCAATATAGAACCTTCATTGGGAAGTGGACAGTTCTTGCCCCCTAAGAAGATATGGTTCAACTCTAAAGCTCTATATCTTTTTTCTGATTAGTTTTTTTCTTGGCTGTTTTAGAGAGAACAGCCTGAAAAATATTAGGATCCTTGAGATTTGGTGTCAATTCGAGAATGGAAATTGGAGAGTTCAATCACAAAAATCAAAATTTCTGTTGAACCAAAGCATCGCCACTCAAGTCTAGTGGAGCTTGACGAAAATACATATATATTTTACCAATTGCATTTTTGTCTTCACATTGATTGGGTGGTCATTTTAGAGGGAGTTTAAAGGGTTTGTAATATGCATTAAATGATCTCAACAGCGGTCATTGGTTAATTGTTTTTTTTTTTTTTTTTTTTTTTTTTTTTTTTTTAAGTAGAAGTTTAAAGAAGCAAATTGAAATAGACTTGTGAAAGTAGAGGCTTTTATGAAGAAATATCTATATATATAGCCAACCTTCCTAATTTTAATTCCCCAAATGTTGAGAGTTTGTTTAGAGGATAAATTTAGCCATAAAAAATCACGACTTAACTTAATTGCCTTTAATGAAAAATAACAAAAACAAAAATAGTCATAATGTGTTATATTATTTTGATTATAATTGGTAAGTCATTAAATTTTATAGTTAGATTTGTACTTTAAATACAACCTACATATTTTGGAAAATTGTAATTTTTAAGTTGACTATAACTTTTATGAAAAAGTTATTTCATGCTGATAGCAAAAGTGCTCATTTGGTTGAGCTTATTTAGTTATTTAAAGGCCAAAAGAAAAGAATTCTTTTAATGCTCAAAAGCTCTTTTGAATTTTTTTTTATCCTCTAGTTAAAAATAAAAAAGAACTCGTTTTTTTTATAATTGACATTAACTTATAAATAAAATGATGATGCATTAAATGATATGACAAAATACTTATATAATGGCACGCCATTTGGGATGTGTAATTTGGAACAAGTATGTGGGATGCGTAATATTACTATTTCGATGATTTCAGATTCTACATTACAAAAGGGCCGTGTCAACTGAATAGTCTTGAGCAGAACCATCATCAAGTCCTTGATTAAAGACTAGAGAATTATAGCTTTCTACATTTCAACAGTGTCCCAGTTAATTGATCTCTCTTCAACATCAAATTCTGATTCATGTAGCCTGTTCCGAGCCAATCTGCTCATGACAGCGAGACCTGAGAAACCAAAACTAAAATCTCAGTTCCACAAGAAGATATATAAATATCTTTCAAATATTCTGAACTGTATATTACTATAACAGATTCTTCGCTTGGCTTAAGATTATTCAAAAGAGACATGCAGAGATTAGTCACGAAAACAAGAAAATATTTAACCTTCCTAGAAAATAATTACGAATGAGCATGAAATAAAATATACTACGCGTCGAAAAAAGTTTAGCATATATACTACATGCATAAAATTAATGGATGAGATGCAAAAAGCAGTTTGAGACTCTTACCTTCGATCATTCTGTAAAGCGCGGACCACCATCCATCTGAAGAGACTTCGTATTGGTTCAGTGACTCTTCAATTTCTTGGTTATGCTTCCCTTCAAGAACTCGTTGCAGAGTTATAACCGCATTCTTTGTTTTCATGAGAATACTGTTCTCATCCAGAATTTCCAAACGTTGAAGGTCATTCTGTGATGAAGTAAGGCTTACAGCAAGGGCAAACTGGGCAGCAGCAGCCCAACGAGAAGAGGCCTGCCATCTTCTCTGTCCATCTAATCGCTTGTTCTCTTCTCGGCCCAACCTGTTCTCTCCTTCCCCATCAAGTACCAAACTGCGCAAGTACTGAGCATTTGCAGCACCTGTGCTCTGAACCATCTTAGAGAAAGCACTTTCTTCATTTAACAGCAATTGCTCTGGGGAATCATACTCAAGAACCTGTAGCATAGAAATTCTGACACACATCAACCAAGATAACAAGGGGGAAAAACAATGTTGGAAAGTGTAAACTAACAAATTTTGCGGTAGATGCCTAAATTAAACATTCAAAACTAATGGCTCACATCAGTTTTGCAGCAGTATCATTCCTAAGGTGTTTCCTCATAATGGTAGCTAGGAACAAAAAATAACATATAAATGAAAACAAAACAAAGAAAGTTTAGAAGGAATACCCGGCCAGAGTCAAGCAAAATAATCCGGTCACAGTCAATGATGGTGTTAAGTCGGTGAGCTATAATCAGCATAGTACATGATTTAAATTCTTCCCTTATAGTTTTCTGAATAAGTGCATCTGTTCTAACATCAACAGCTGCAGTTGCTTCATCAAGAACAAGTATCTTAGATCTCCGCAATAATGCTCGAGCAAGACTTAATAGTTGCCTTTGTCCAACACTGAAATTCTCCCCTGCCTCTGAAACCTGGTAGAACACAAGGAACATTCATTATAATCCACAAAACTTCTGAAGAAATTATGAGCTAAGGAATTAACAAGGTTTTGAGAAAGCACCTCAGCATCCAGACCCAGAGAATTCCTGCGGATGGCATCCTTCAAATGTGCCCTCTCTAAAGACTCCCAAAGGTCAGCATCATTGTGTTCACTGAAAGGATCAAGATTAAATCTTACAGTTCCTGAAACAAAAAGTGTAAAATGGTCACTCAGTTAAAAAACTTAAGACTTCATTTTAATTGAAAAAAATTTATCAGGTTGTCCATTGAATAGCTCCAACAAACACTGATCATCATAGAAATAACTTAAATTTGAAAAGTGCACTGATGTCCAGACTAAATTCCTACTGTAACCAAAATTTTGGACACCCCGTACCTGAGAATAGGATTGGTGATTGCGGTATAATACCAAGTACTTTACGTAAGTCCATCAATCCAAACTTCCCAATGTCACAATCATCAATTAAAATTCTTCCCCTTTCCAGCTCTACTATTCGAAATAAAGCATTGAGCATGCTAGATTTCCCAGCCCCAGTCCTTCCAACTATCCCTACCTTGTCACTCGGTTCAATCATAAAAGACAATCCGTGCAAGACTGGAGGAAGTTCAGGCCTGTAGCGCAGGACAACATCCTCAAATTTTATAGATCCTGATGAAGGCCATCCAGGAGGAGGGCGGTTGGTCTCGATAATGAGTGGAGCCTCTGAGGGTAAATCTATATATGTGCCAACCCTCTCAACAGCATTTAAACTATTCTCAGCCAAACTTGCAAGCCTCAATACACCAGTCAACAAACCAGTAATATTTAATGCATAACTTAAAAGCAGACCCATAGTTGATGCAAATGCCTGCGGGTTCTCAGCTCTTCCATTCTGCATAACAGCAAATGTTGCTGTAAACCAAATCATCAGGCCTCCTAATGTTTCCAAACGGATTGCAAGCCACCGATTGGCACCCATGTTCACAAGAGTAAATCTGACATTATTGTCCATAGATTTCCCATTAATGTCAGCCATCCGATCGTAAGCTTTATATGCACGTATCGTGGACAAGCCATTAAGTGCTTCACTGAATTGTGCATAAACCGGTGATCTGGTTATGGAATCCAAACGTTTTACTTCACGAGCCGTACTCTATACAAACGAAACAAACATTCATTAATAACTATTTATCATGCTTCCAAAAACAAAATAATGCCTGCAGATTGAAATAACTGTTTGCCAACCAGTAACTCTGGAACCCATATCACTGAGAGAAAACATTCACTTCAACTTCACTAAAATAACCATTCATGCCAGCTAAGGAATGAAATAAGAGAACTAAAGAATGAACTAAATAACAAATTATATTGAAAAGTTAAATCCTTGACCACAAAAGTGCCTTTTATTTAGGAATAGAGACTATCACTAAAAGAAAAAATATTTTAATTAAAAAAGAAAAAACGAATCATAAAAAATAATTAGTGATCAACTAAAAGATCATAAAATCATCAATAAATTGATTCCCAAACTTTTCTTAGCATCCTCAGATTTTATTTTAACCCAAAAAAAAAAAGTTCATCATAAATAGTAATTTAAATATTTTCTTTATAGTTTCCGAAGTACTCATTAGAAGCATGTTAATAAAAATAAAACAAATCAATTAGAAATCAAGGTACTCAGACAGAAGATGGCAAGCTGAGGTTGATAAAGAAGTTTCTCTAAGTTCAAGCCTCGCCAGTTCAACGGCGACCTAATGAATTTGAGTGACAGAAATGATAGGCAATTTGAAAGCTCATGATCTTAAAAGGGTTGTGTCCTCTGAGCAGAATCTCAGAAAGGATTAACATAATTTGGGAAAAAGACTATGGCAGATGATTCATGATTATATTTTTTTCAAAGAAAAGAACATTTGGGTTTAGTAATCAATTTCTTTAATCCCTCAACTAGGGTGTTAACCGTAATCCACCAATGTACCTTATGGAACTCTCCTGGTGTTTGTAGGTAAGATGGTGCTCTCAAACAATTTATATTGAAGTAATTGGAGACCAGAATTCAAAACTAAAACCCACCACCACAAGATTTTCATACTAAAGACAATAGGAGATAATAATGAGAGCTATAGATTGCCCCCACTTAGTAGCAGACCAAAATAATTTATGATTTCAAAGTTCTGAAAGGAATAAAGAATAAGAATCAGGTCCGTGTACCTGATAATACAAGTAGGCCGCATAAAATAAAACCAATAACGGCATTATAGCCCACAAAGACATAGTGCTGACGATTCCAATCAAGACAAAAGTAGAAAGGAGCTGTGACACTTGGCCCAGAAACATGTTCACAAATATAGCCACATTTCGATCGATGTCACCTAGATCCTTTGCAAACCTATTGATAATTCGTCCAAGTGGATTGGTTTGGAAAAAGACCATTGGAGCTCTTAATATGGAAGTAAGCATAGCATCATGCAACCTTTTGGCTGCATAAAGACTTGATATGATCAACCAATATGAATTCGCCAAAGTCACCAAGACCTGAAACCCAAAAGAAGCACAAAGAGTTAAGCTAAGAGATTACAGCATCTAACACACATTTATTATTATTTCCATTTCTTGCAATGGGCAGAAAAGAAGGCCTCTCAAAAGTTATAGTTGGAGGAAAAAATAAATTTTGCATAGGATTAGTTAAAGCATAATCGACAGAATTTTGGAGCCAAATTCAGACCTGACAAAATGACAGAAGTGAATATATCAAATTGTAATAACCAGGTCCATGTCTCTCCAAAGAACCTTGATCTGTCCAATAACTCAACCATGTGCTACCTGAAATTCTTAAAGTTTCTGTCAAGACATAGCACAGAAGAAGAATTATTACCACCCATAGGCCTCCTAATGCATCCTTGTACCTAAGAAGAGAGAAGTATTATGTTCAGTAACATTGAAACAGATATAAAACAAAGTATGCACCCTGGTAGAGCTTGCAAAAAAAATACCACTGGATAAACAGAAACTCATGCAATAAAATAACCATGTCTATATGTATGCATAAAACACGTCTATTCGTCCACAGATAAACAGATACACATGACAGTCAAAAGCCATAATCGATTCAACTGTTGGGTAATGCATTCACAGTCAAAAGCCAATCAGTAATTTGATATGCCAACCGTGAAATTGAATATAACACAATTGCAAAAACTGTTAATCCAGTCGTCCACCAAAATAGGTTAGGACTGGAAAATGGGAAAAGCACAAAATAAATAAATCATTTGCAGATAATTAAGAAGACATGGAAAGAAACACTGCATGATCTGCACCACAGGGAGCTTATTCAAACAATTACATTCTTTATCTCATAGCTAAAACTCCAAATTGAAATGGGCACTGTAGAAATATATAATAATTTAAAGCAAAGGGAGAAAAAAGAAACATTTGTTACCTTGACAAAACTTTCCAACTGACAACACCAGTTTCTCGTTCTTCTTGCTTAATAAGAACCGATTTGCCTATTTTTGGTTTTTCTGTATGGTTGGCATTCTTTGGCAAATCATTAGTTACCCCATTACCAACAGGTTTTGAGGTCTTAGGATCAGAAGTTTCAGCATCTTCCTTTTCTTCCTCATATTCTTCCATTTTTCCAGCATTTTCCATCAGCTTTTGGAACAGCTGGCCGTTATTAGAAAGGTCCTCGAATGTTCCCTCCTCTTTTATAGTACCCTCATGGACCAAGATAATTCTATCAACCTGTGAAAGAAAGTGCAGCTGGTTTGTAACAAGAACCCTTGTTTTCCCCCTTAATTCTCCCTTGATGCATTTATCAAAAACCTGAAGATGGTTGGTGATATAAATTAGCATAGCATAACATTAAAAATAAAAAAAGATAAGAATAATAATAAAAATAAAAGCAACACAATTTTAACAGTATTGAAGCTAAAAATGGTGATAAACACAGAGAAAAATGCAGCTAATAAAATTCAAAACACAAGCAAGAGAAAATAATGGAAAAAGAAATTCAAGCATGATATATATTTTGCAGGAAAAAATCATAACTCCGCAGACATCAATAAAGTAAAATAGCCCATAATTTACAAGTTTTCAAAATTACAAATTTATACATAAATAAACCGAGTTAACTTTACTTGCAGAGTAGGTCTGTACATCCACCCAAGTTTCTACTGAATTTTAAATGATTACCTATACGACAAAAAAGTGGGCTTCTCTATGAGTGTGGATATTTATATAAAGACAATCGAGCAGCAGCCAAGTCAGGCATAGAATTTGATCCAGATGACAACAAATGGATCCACTGTACACTCACAAACTTGAACAAAATATCATACCATAAATATTGCAAATACAGTCATACATCATAAAAAATCATAATCTGCTAGAAGTACTACATAGAAAAAACAGTGACAGCAGGGGTAAACTATCAAATGGTCACCTGGCGAGCCACGTGAGCATCCAGAGCACTCAAAGGATCATCAAATATGTACACATCTGAATATGAATACACAGCCCTTGCCATGGACACCCTTTGCTTCTGCCCACCACTAATATTTACTCCACGTTCACCAATCTCGGTAAGATCTCCACCCTAGTCGTCAAGCATGCAAAACACAGAAGAAATTCAGTCACATGTAGGAATTATGATCATCCATGGGCATGCAATTATCAAGAGATAATGTAATCACCAAGCTACTGGTAATAAATCTAAAGTGGACAGTAGGGGTTCCACTCGTAATCCGTGGTTAGTTATTTCACAAGGACAGCTTATATTTTTCTCTCATGTGAAGTGTGTTGTAGGGAATGGAAAAAGAATTTCTGTCAAGGGAATAATTGGATTGATGAAATCTCTCATTTCCTTGTCCTTAGAGATCATCAAGCCATCAACATCTCATAATGTTTCCACTAATAGTGGTCTAGTAATGGGATTCTTCAGATCTATAAAAACTAGCCGATGAATTTGGAAACACTTACAGGCAGCAAGTCAAGATCATGCCGCAATGCAGTCACATCAATTGCCTTCTCATATCTTGCTGATTCAAAGGGAGACCCAAATAATATATTACCTCGTACCTACAAGAAAAAGTTATCAAGACCACAATAACACCAAATTATAACAATTGCAATGCATGCATTTTCAGCCAAAGAGATATAATCCAAAGTTATTTACCTTCACTTGTTTACATAAGTTCCTAAAATATCTATGCTCGAATAATTACAATATGATTCTAGAGCAAGTATTTTGATATTAACAAAAGCACAAGTAAGAGATGAATGGCATAAATTGACCTAACCACATATAAATACAGAACTTAAGAATACCACTACTTACAGTTTCATTGAAAATCCATGAAACTTGTGGAACATAAGCAACCCCCCCTCGAATAACAACACTTGCATCAGACACTGCAGGAAGCTCCCCAAGCATTGCCGATATAAGAGAGGTCTTTCCTTCTCCTGTACTGCCAACTACTGCAACCAGGCTACCGACTGGAATATCCAAATTGATATTTGACAATGTAGGCCTCTCTGCCTGGATATAAATCAAAAAAGTAAAAAATGAATGTGAGCTTTAAAAGTCCATAAAATTCAAAGTGTCATCAACGACAGAAAATTTGATGGCACTCTCACATGGTCAAGCAAGTCTTTAAATAACTGAAAGATATAATACAAAACAGCAGATAATTAAACTTCCCTCCCCATGGTATAATCAGCAAAACTTTCTCATTATCCATTTATTTAAAAACAACGTACATCTAAAAAACTATTGGCTTTATGATATGCATTATTCTCCAGTATATTCCTTGCAGAAAGGTCATGCGCTGGCCCACATCATATATATATATATATATCTTAATGAAATAGGATGGCTATAAAAATCCTAAATAACTTTAGCCAATCAAACATGGACCTAGTTAAACTAGAGATTTCTTTGTCTAACAAACTGAGCTTCATTATTTATTAATAAAGAGAACTTAACAAGAGGGCAGTAAGCCAGAGGTCCAAGAAAGCAAAACAAAGAAAAGGCCTCTACAAAAACAGTCAGTAGAAACAGGCTTTACAGAAAAGCAAATCTCCACTAAAAACCAAAACTCTTCAACCTGGAGCCTCCTAATTGTGTTGAATGAAAAATAATAGAGTATCTATTTAACCTAAAACATGGATCAATTTAAAATGGAAAATATTACTATTCTGAAAAAAGTCTTATGGAGGCATATTCAGTAGGAACTATGAGCTGATATTCATAAAAAAATTCATATGCAGCACAATAACTGTCTTAAACTGTGAACTGCAATGCATTACACGAACACGTGTTGCACACACTAAAAAAAAATGTTTCACCAGTCCTCTTCAATTTATGTAGCTATAACTCTTAAATGCAAATATATATATATATATTAGTCATCTGTTTCAGTGCATGTATGTACATATCTATCTATGTCTTAAACAAATAAAAAGCACAAACAAGGGTGCACAAGATAGAGTATAGAACTAAACCTTTGAATCCCATGAAAAGTAACCATTTCTTATTGAGACGGCTGGCAATTTAGGATCAAGTGGAGGATTTGGTAGGAGAACTCTTTCTTCAGCCAAGAAAAGCTCCTCCAGACGTTTCAATGATACATTTGCATTTACCACCTGTTAAACCACAGCAGCATTAGTCGATGAGTAAATGAAGCAATCAGTTTCCCTAGATTGGCAACTGAGTGATAAATATTTTAAACATTTGATAGAGGAAAAATGTAAACATAAAGATAGGACAAATTAATTAAAGAAGATGAAAAAGGAGGGTAATGTACCAAAAAAACTGTCTATGGATACCTAAAGTAATACTGGGGATACCCCAACATATATATCTCAGCAAAGAATGTCAGTTTAAATTCCATTTAATATTTTGATGTTTAAGAAGATTAGAAACAAAACTTATCTATAAAACAATCAACAGATGTGAAAATACATGATGTTTGGATGTTCTTCAGAAACTCAAAACTTCTATGTTTAGCCAACCATAATGCTCTAGATGTGAAATAAATATGACACTCTTGCTAATAAATAGGAGTAAAAAAAAAATGAGAGAGAGATCTGATTGAATCTCCTATTCAGATGCAAAAAGTTGATGATGCAACCAAGAGAAACAAGCCCAGTGGGAAAGCATATATGCTTCGGATAAAGCATTATTGAGGGTGAAATCAGCAGGAATTAACAATGGTCTTGGTATTATCATTTTGAAATTTAATTGTGATGAAGGGAGAACATAAGTGAAATAATTGTTGTTAGAGGTTGTGGAGGTGGCCTAAGTGATAGTTCTATGACAATTGCTTAGGGCACTGGTCACTGCAACGAGCCTGAGTGATGATAGCAGCTGCTTCCAAGAAAAAAATGATGGTAGTGGTAAATGGTGGTAATTAGATAACTGTTGATTTTGGGTAGTAAATACAAAGTAGAGGACATAATTATGACCAGTTAGGCGGCTGACTATAATGGTGGTTTGAGTGAACAAATCCGAAGTAGAAGCAGTATGCTCCAAGAAGAGATGGAGATTGTGCAACATAATAGGAAGGGAGCAGAGAAGTTAAGAGCCTGTTTGCTGAGGGATTTTGAAACAATTTGTATCGACCAATATATACAATCCAAAAATTTCAGTTATATCTCAATGTTTTTTATTTTCTAAAATCATATTTAATCAGTATTCATAAATTATTTTTAGAGTTAAAATGTGGAAAACAATGAAAAACTTATTTTTCCATTTTTAACTGTTATACTATCTATGATAACAAGAATTTATGAGTGTTGATAGACTGTTTTTGGTCTAGCTTAATACAATATTTTCTCCGACTAAAGCTACAATTCAGAAAGATTTCAACAGATTTCACTATCAAGCCTAGGATAAATGAACTTAGGAATGCATAAAGGAGACAAGAGGAAATAGCCCAGTGAAGCTAGCTCCACCCTCTGAATGGAGAGAACTTGTTATAGAAAGATATATTAGATGGAATTATTCATATAGATTTGTGTCTAAGACAAAATCAACAACAAAAAGAAAATGTTTTCCTTCACACAATCAAAAGCCATTCTCTCATAGGACTTCACCATTCAATGTACTAAAACCACATATAACACAACACAGTTAACATACCACATAACTGAACATAAACTAACTAAATAGTGACAACAAAGATTTTTATCCATCTTCTCTACTTGGAAAATCTAGTTTATAATTAATGCAGATGAATGGATAGGAACAGGAGATAACCTGAGTTATTATATTAGGAAGCATGAACAGGGGAAACCGAAGCACAGCAAATAGCGAAATAGAAGTAAATGCCCGAGCAGGTGTCAGATTCCCTCCAAGCAAAGTGAACATGCCAAATGAAATGACTGTCACCACAACTGGAATGCTGTTTAGAATGAAACCATTCAACTGCCAAATGAGGAAAAACATTAGAAATGTACAAAAAAAAAATTGATATCCAAGCTAGACACCTATATCATACAAGCAACTACAAGTAGGAACCATCAATAATCAACAGCACACAATTTGTCAGCATGTAAAACACAGTCATTTATTAGACAAGCAGTAAATATAGACCATTTAAGCATAATAAAGCTTTATTATCCAAAATGATTTAATCAATATGTTTATCTGTCATTAGATATGATCTTAGATTGCTAATAAGGGCATTATAATCTTCTGTCTTACGGTGTGACAACAATGGTCCTAAACAATCAATAAGATATCATTCAGGCACCAGAACTTGCATGTACTTCTGCTTCAGGCTGATCAGCACGGCAGTTAATAAAAATTCCTATTTTTAGTAGAAAAAGGCTATTGGAAAATAAATTTATAAGCCTGCAAGTAATGGAAAAGCAAGTATTTAAGTACGTTACAGATGCGTGCATAAGAGAAACTGGAATAACAAAACACAATTACTGATGGATTTGTATTTTCTTATCTTTCATCATCATAGACTCTTAAAATATATCAGCAAATAGAGTTTTGTTCATTTAAACAGATTTTGAACTTTAATTTAAATAATTAAGATTATAGTCATTCTTAGCACAGAAATAGTCAAGATCTTTCAAAGAATATTGTAGGCCATACTGATGCTAGCAGTGATGCTTTGCGGAACCAGGACAATTCATCAGTCCGAACACTTTGAACTTTAGATTGAAAACTGCTTTCCCATGCATAACACCTGAGACATTTTTAGCATGACAAAGTTGTCAATAAATGCCCACATACAGCGTAAAAAAAACAAGAGCATTTAAATTCAAAATGTCTCTTACTTCACAGTGTCCATTGCACCCAAAATTTCATTCATAAGGCCAATTCTTTTGTCTGTACGTTGCAAACCCTCCTTAGACAATTTCTGCATTCTGCTGATAACAAGAGTCTGTTCCCACAAAATTATTAAAGATTAAGGATCATATGATGAAAGAGACAACTACAAACATAAAAACAAAGTAACGCATTGTAATAACACGTCAGAAGAGAGATAAGGCTTAGAAATATGACATCCTACAAGTACTATAAAGATGGACAATGAGCAATTAAGAGGCAGAACTCATGTACCTGTATGGGGAACAGTAGAACTAACATTAATGCACCAAGAAGTGAAGCTACACCCAATTGCTGATAAAGAAGAACCATTGCAACAACAATGCGAAACGGAGCTGACCACATTGTGTGAAGTGCTTGGCATATTTGCTGTCAAAACAAATGAAAAATTGGGTCATGGTACAAAGCACAATATTTAACAAGTATAGTCACACCACCTTTGTTGATGGCAGAATCATAGAGATAGAGCATACCTGAAGTGCCTCAGCATCAGTTGTCATCAAGTTGGTTATCTTCCCAGTTGCAAATTTCTTACGAGCCTCATGTGTTAGCCTAAGAGATTTGCGAAATACAGCAGCAACCTGAAAAAGATACGAGTCAGATGAAGATTAAAAGATGTGACAAATATTTAGGTTTAATCAAAAAACAGAAAACAATATCTATAACACACTGCTCTTATACTGACAAAATAAAACATTTCAATACGCTGAAATGTCAGGATGTTCTAAATTCATAAGCTGATATTCAATTAACCGCATAAAGACCCAAAAAAATTAGCTATACTTATAAACTTGCACCATAAAAAGATAACCAGGGAATTCAAAGATAATCAAATTATAGTGACAATTGTATCAAATTCAAATTATTTTAAATGAGATCCAACTAACTCCACACAAAAAAAGACCACAAACAATTAAGTGAAAGTTAAGTTATCAAGTTTGAAGCAGCTAACAGAATGCAGCTTTTACGTCAATCAGAGTTGTCTGTAAAATAGACAGTCACTCATTATTAGTCAAACAAAATCCATAGGCCAAACTTCCAGCATAAGCAACAGTGATCATGTACCATGCTATAAGAACACCCAAAGCAAAGTACAGTGTGATCCATAATACCCAACAGTGAAATTATGAAAAATGCCGCAAAGTTCTCCCAGGCCCAACCCACAGCCCCCAGTGCCACCAAAATTTCACTCACATCTAGGAGAAGAGAATGGAATTATGTGGTGAGATTGGTTATGCTTGCACATATGTTAATGGTATGAAATTACACAAAAGCACAGGATACAAAAAAAGGCAGGCACTATCAAATCATATTAAACCTAAAGAATTGCCAAAGAGAGAGATAAACTGTCCAGATAAACTTAAATTACCAAAGTAGATCTCAGCCGAAAACCAACACGCATGACATTTTGGAAATACTGAGCTTCACATAACACCCCGAATACCTGGATCAAATAGCAAATATGTATTAATAGTGAATATAGTCAAAAGAAGCAAACAGATGATAGGTTTAATCAAGAAAGTTAATGCCAACTTCCTCAAGTAGTAAATATCTTAGCATATACTATATACTAATACAAACTAGAAATATAACATTTTTTTCATACCACTCCACCAAAAATCGAAAAGGCACAGATGTAACCGATCCAAGCTGGGTCACCTTGTTGCATAGACTGCAGGTAGGCCATCATATATGATAAGTGGGCTACTTATAAAATAAACAAATAATGAAAATCTCACAAATTGCAAACCAGAATAAGAGGTCTCTTAAAATTTTGTTATATATAGCAACAAAAAAGGAATTATATCATCTATCCAAAAGGAAGGGGCAAATCAAAAACAGCAGACCTGCAAGAGTTTGTTCAACATAAGTGGCCCCCAAAACTGTGAAAGATCATTGCCAATCTACAAGATTTTAGAGAGAACAAACAGATGAGGAGACTAAAAATAAAATTAATAGAAGGAATTCAATCAGGAACGCGTTAGTATTGGTAAAAATCTTAAACTGCAGCCAAATTATACATTAGTCCACAAAATGAATTATAACCTGGCCAAAAAGTGAACATCATACACATAATGAAGCAACATTTCCCAGACTACCCTAAGTTCAAGCCATATAAAAATGCACTTCAACCAGTGCTATAATATTAAAGCAAGCCTATAACTTTCAGACTCCATTTCAAGTGAGGTTGATTAAAAAAAAAAAAAAAGAAGCATCACTGAGACAAAACCAAATCTCGTATAACTAGACACAGTTAGTCAATTAAAACATTATCTAGATGTGCCCAAAAAAAAAAGAAAAAATATTGTTGCCGTTGAATTTCAATTTTTTCTCAAGGTATATGCTCATACAATTTGTCCTAGCATCACAAGCATGATAATATTGAACAACTAATTCGTCACAAAACTAACACCACAATGTTTCATCAACAGAATAAGATCATTACCTTCCAGACGCCTCCACACCAAAACCTACATGCAGTAAGAGGGAACAATCAGATGCATAAACAAGTAAACAAAAGATAAACAGTTGTTATTTGAGAAGTTGTGCTTGTTTAAAAACATCCCAGTTTCAATTAGAAACATTCTGTTATCTGATTCAACATTCTTCAAGCAGTACTTAACTTCCTGCTTTTTTTACTGATCTCAACTGTTATCCAGTAAACAAAAGATGTTCAACAGTGTCTTGAAATCTTTTACCTTCGCCCAAGACTTCTATTCAGTGCTCTTAAAAGCCATGGTTTAGGTTTCTGTGATTCCTCAGCCCAACATTTCTGGAATCTAAAAAAGTCAACAAAAGAAATTATACAACCTTGCCAATAGCATATTACTTTAAAAAAATCAGTATAAATAAATAAAGACACACCTGTTATTCAGCGTTTCGGTCCGGTCCCATGTATCTAACTTCCAAACATCTTTCTCTGTGATAAATTTTTCATAGCCTAGCTTCATGAGTGGATTCATCCATGCAAAAGTTGCTCCTAGCACAATGAACAATAATCAGATATTGGATTAGGAAGCAAATCAACATCTTATGATTTAGTTCACTAAATTTTCAAGAAATGAATAGCCTGAACACCAGAGAATGATATAAGTGACAAAAGAAAAAAAAAAAGGAAAAGTGACTACCACAATGATCCTAACCACTTTATAAAGATTTTATGGTGAAAAGAACAATTTCAGCAAACATTGGAAGTGAACCAAGCGGATTTCAATAAAATGTAATTACAACAACACCACGGGCAAAAACCATTAACAGGGGTAAATTTAACTTAAACAAAGTTAAATCGTATATGCATGGGCAAAATTGTTCTGCTTGGTCATAGGAAGAGCATCCACACATAGCTGAAGTTTATTTCCTGATTTTTAATTAAGAATAATGATTTTTTTTTATCTTCCCAACACAGGATGCCTTATGAAACTTTCTAAACATTGGGCATAAATTCAATGGACACATACTGGATAATAGGTTGGCATGCCTCTCAGGACATATCTGCTCTCCTCCAGGAAGTTCTTCATATTCAGCATCATCAACTAATTCTGTTCGCATTGGGGTGTAACCAGGATAAGGATCCAAATCAGGAACATGTACAACCAGAAGTAATCCAAAAAGAACCTAAATCAAAACAACAGGCAAAATATAAAGATTACTATAGCTCACAATAAATATAACTGGTTGTAAATATCAAAGATTAATTCACTACGAGCTTTCTTGGTCACATCATCGTCTGGTACTGAACAGTATTTACACATATCTGGCACTCCATGTCTCCAACAAAATTCAGTCATCCTAATGACACTGAGCATCAACTAGTCATACACAAACAGTCACCTCATCCAGATATAGGACAGTAAGGTTCAAGCCGATCATGCCATTACCATAAATGGGCTAAGCAGTCTTTTACCAACTAAATTCCATTACGATAAATGCACCCAGCAGTCTTTTCCTAACTAAATTATGTCATATTGCTGCAAGAAGCAGCAATCAATTTTTGTTTGTTAGACTGGCTAGGCCATGCTTGGAGATATAGCATGCCACTATTAAGGTCAGGGTAATCCCTCAGGCTGGTGGCGCTGCTGTCTAGCAGTTCTAATAGGGTAAAAATAGCCGACCTAGGCTAACCAATCACCAGGCTAAGTTGCAAAACTAATAGGCCAGACATGGCATTACCTAAAAGGAAATTTTTAGACCAAAAACCCTCGGGAGGAAAAGAAACATGAGACATACCTGAACAATGACCTCACTCAAGTACAAATACAGTACAGAACTGCAAAAATAAGATACAACTGTGAGTTAGTCTCCCAAACATATTACACTTGCAAGAATGAAATCGTCAACTCAAATAAAAAGAGGGTCAAGCCTTACAAGGAAGAGAGAGAAAGAGAACCGAGTATTAAAACCAAGAAACACAAACCTATTGTAAGAGTTCTTCGCTGAAAGAATGAGATTGAACATCACTGCATCACCGACCAAAGTATAAAGCACCCCAAATCTGACAAACCATCGAAACTCACGAATGTAGACTTTAGTTTCCACACCAATCATAACCAGCATAGAACACCAAGCCAGAGCCTCAATAATCAGGGAAACAATCTGCCATTCAAATGAAGACGATAAGATACTCCACACATGGAAGTCACGTCATCTTACTGAAACAGATTAGTCATGCCTTCTATGTTATACACCAATATAGGCTTCACATAGTCCTGAACTAATCATAAAATCAGTAATACATGTATTGACTAATAAAAATCTTAGTTCAGAAACAATTATTCTGAAATTTGTAAGACTGTTTTAACTGTCAAGTTTTCCATCCCAGGCGCAACACCATATGACAAACATTTTCAAAGCCAGTAACAGTGAGATTGGCCAAAATGGAACAGAGTGGAGTTACGTAAACAATAAATCAAACAATGTGGACTAACTGATTCTGATGCACCAGAAACAATTTATTCAATTCAGTTTGGTTGAATAAACATCTCTATGTCATGGTACATAAGAAAACAAGAGAATATGCCAGTAATGTATTTTACATGTTTTAACTGTTATCGAGTAAATGACATGGAATCCTTAATACGAGTGGTAATGAATGAATGTTTTTGAACTGAAGCAACTAGATAAGCACATTATAGCACCTTAACTTAGTAGAATGACCAACATAAAACTAACCCAAAGTCACACATCAAAGAGGTGAGAAAAAGTAAGAAAGAGAAAGTAAATTGTAATTCTTTCTAGAACCATAAATATTAACAATAATACTTGCGTCAGAAAAAAAAAATTAATACAATTCATTCTTGTCCAATCACAATATGAAAAAAACAGATATATACAACATTCTTCACAAACAAATTGACACAGTTACAAACAAAGTCTAATTTGCATATTCATGAATAACATATCGAACTCAAACTCAGTAAAGCAAATAAGAAACAAAAGATAGAAGCCACTAATTATCAGAAAAGTGAAAAACTGACCTCAAATGGAGCAAGACCAGTTTGTTCATCCAAATCCAGAATGGAAATACCCATAATCAGTCTGAACAAAGGCTCAGCAGTAGTATAAGCAGCCAAAAAACCCAACAAGTAATGATAGAGTTTTGACTTCAAACAAAACCTCTGAACTTTAAAATCTTTCTTGATCAACCATATTCTATAGAAACACAATCCCATAAGAACCAAATGACAAATGGTGATGACCAAAGAGTCAGTAGCACAAGGAGTGTATGCACCAAAGGCATTGTCCACCAGCCTTGTCCACACCCCATTTGCCACTGGTCTACAATACCAGACCAGTGGATTAAAAGCCATTTTGTTTTTTTACTTATTTACCACTGGAATTCACTCAAAAGTCAAAATATTCATAATCCTCTATCCTCGCTCTTCTTCCAAGAACTTTGACTTCTCCACACTACACAATCTCTGCAACACAATAAAATCATGACAAGCATTAAACATAAAAATAAAAAATAAAAATAAAAATAGCGAACCATCTAGAAACTGAAATAACAAACTTTTGGAAAGAAAAATTACAAGTTGTTTATCTATGAAACCTTGTGTGTGTTTGTTGTGAATCATATTTTGCAAAAAAAAAAAAAAAATTCCAGAAAGAACAGATTTTTCCCTTGGTTTAGTTTATATTCAACCCAGAAAAACAACCCTTGTAACCCAAAACATTGACTTTCTCTCTCCCCATCAAAAATTTTTCCCAGCAACCAAACAGGGAGAACTAGAAAAAGATGAAAGAACTTGAACATTTTCTTCTCGTTGACATAACCAAAAGAAAACCAGAACCAGAACCCACATACACATCAAACAATCAACACTAAAACCAATGAAAGCACCTTTACAACCAACGACTCACTTTTGTTCCTTCTTTTGGTAAAACAAAATCTCATACACAAAACGAAACCTTTATGAATCAAAAAAAATAAATAAAAGAGAAAAGACTAAAAGGACAAAAAAGTTTTGTAGTAGAAAGAGGGATCCCAGCAAAAGGACTTTGTTAAAAGAAAAATCTGTAAAACAGAATCCATTGCAGCCATACCTATGGAGATGTGAAAGTGAACGTGTTTGTTGAGAACGTGATCGTCTCTTTTATTATGCTTGTGCCTTGTATGGTTTATTTTATTACCCCCCTACGGTATTGTTTACTATCAAACACATCTTTTTATTAGAAAGTACAGTATAAGTAAGCATCCGCGTAATAGGGTGCCTTTGATATTTGATAAGGGCGTTTTTATTACTTTCGGAACAAAAAGGATGATTTTGTTATATTAAGAAATATAAAAGGAGAAAAAAAATAAACCCTATGTTTGTATATATATTATTAATAAATATACGACAACGTCACCGCTTAGCTTACACTTAAAAATAAATATTTATGTATTTGTTCAACGCTGTCAAAAATGTCACACTAGGTAAGTCCATTTGAATTTGTCTTCCTTACAAAAAATAAAAAATAAATAGATTTATTTATTTTATTTATAAAAGAAAAAGCGTAACTTTTTAAATTCGTTTTTATTTGTGCATTATTAGTATTATTAGAGCTCATAATATATAATTGAGTTAAATATTTGGGACGTGTTTGCTTATTTGTGACAAAATAGAGAATCTAGGTGCGATAAATTAAAATCTGATTTCTGATAAAGTAAGATCCAAGTTTATGGGCAATAATTTGCCTTGATGTGGGAGGAGGGTTATTTTTGTCTTTTTATTTTTGAGTTGGTGATAAAAGCGAGGTGGAGATTTGTTACTGATTGTGTCAATGATATGATATCATTTATTCAAGGAATTTATTGCTTTTTCGAATTGGAGAGACTTAAGTAGAAGTCGGTTGGTTACCGAATGAATAACGTTACCTCATTAGGTACTTAATGGTAAAAACGTTTTTAAACTCTAATTAGTGGAAATTATTAGGACTCTTATTCGACCGATAATTTCAAAACTCTATGATACTTTTGGGTAATTATTTATATACTATTTGGACTCTAATTTTCAGAATATGCATTTGTTTTATTACTCAAAGAATTGTATACGAAAAAATTTGATTTTTGACATATTTGACCGTTTTGTTTGTGGGGTTTACCGTCTGCAATTTTTTTTTTTTTTCTTTTCCTTCTTTCTTCTTCTTCATCTTTATTTCTTCGGTCTGTCTTCTTCCAACCAACAATCACGGCGACAACTCTCTCTTTCACCAGCCATCTACAACTTATTTTTCTCTTTTCCTTCTTTCTTCTTTCTTCTTCTTCTTTATTTCTTCATTTCATCTTCTTCCAACCACTGCTTCAACTTCTCTTCCACCTGTATTCAACCTCTTATAAAGCTCAATAAGGTCGATCTGCACTATTTCAACACACAGCTCCCTGCTTCTTTCACATACACCTTAGGTTTTGTTATTTATGTATTATGTTTGTTTGTGTGATTTTGTTATTTATGTATTGTGTGTGTGTGCGTGTGTGTGTGAGGGAGTGATTGTAGTAAAGTTTTTTTTAGTAGAGTGTGTTATTAGGATCAATGAAGTGAGCACTAGATCTCTTTTACCACCAACCCAGTTGTAAAAAAATATACCAAACAAATATTCAACTCAAATAACAAAGTTAAAATACTATATCAAACACATTTCTTATTCTCATAATAGTAACTCAACTCAATTCTATAATACTATTTAAAAAATCCTATCCAAAATAACAAAACAAACACATACACACAAACTGGTTCAGAAACCTAACAAATAAAAAAAATGTTTTTTTTTACACCTAAAATTTAATAATAAAGAGTTTTTATTATTTTAAAAACATTAAGGTGATTGTTCTTATTTAAACAAACTTAAAAGCAAAGGTAAAGTAAAATCTTTTCTTTAAAAGGATGGAAGTGGGTTGGTTATTGAATGAGTAACGTTTACCTCAGTGGATTGGCTCTTTTTTATTATTATTATTTTTTTAGAAGGATTCAAATAACTTATAAAAGGTAGTTTTACTCCCGTGTTAAAGAATGACCAAAAAAAAAAGTTACTAAAATTAAATAAATAATAATTTTATCTAAATATAATAATTCTTACCATTTCAGCACAAAAATAGTATTAAAAAATCATTCAATACATTATATAAATATTAATAATGCTAATGAATTATTTCTTTAATTGTCAAATGTTGGAAATTTTCAAGGGAATTTTGTCTTTATGAGGAAATTAATTTAGAAAATTTTGACTATAAGTTTTTGGTTGCTAAAGTGGTTTACTCATAAAAGTATTCATCTAGTTTTTTTTTTCTTATATTTACTAAGATTTGTCAAACTTTAGACCCTATTTATAAATTCAATTCAATGTCAATTTCGGCTTAAGTTTAACCCTTTTTTATTTTACTGGGAAATAATCTGAATACGGCATTGACAGTGCATTATTATGATAAAATTTTAAAATTGTTGTCAAAATTTTTACACCAACTTTAGAGTGAATTTGGAAGTATTTTTATAAAATATGTTTTGCAATAAAATCATTCTTATAACAATAATTGCAAATGCCCTTTTGCTTTTTCTTTAACAAAAATAAATTATCTCTCACTTAAAGAAGTGCCTTTTTATGTTTTACCAAAAAAGCATGAAAAATGCTTTGTCTATTAGAAACACATGATAAATGCTTTTTATTTATTTGAAAATTAATTTTTTGATAATGAGTTAAAAGAGCAAACCCCCTTTGGGTTTGTCTAAAATAGTAAAAATCCTCTTCTGGTTTCTGAAATTACTTTTTTTTTTTTTTTTTTTTTAATGGTTAGTGTCTGAGTCTGTATACGCATATTTTGACTAAGGTTTGAGTTTTATTAAATACCCTACAAACTAAATGTTCCAAGATAAGTCACAAATATAGTAGGTGGTTTTAAGGTTCGAACCTAGAAAGTCAATAAATAGAGTAAACCTTCTTAACTGTCAGATCAATCCCCTGAAGTTAGAAATTACATAAATTCTTATATTGTTAATGAATATTTAGTTAACTATTAGAATTTACACTGTGACAAGTTGATGAATTATATACCAACTTGCCTTTTTACCATTTTTTTTTTTTTAACATCTCGAACTTGATAGCATATTGTTATTTTAAAAACCTTGGCGAGAATGGTGTCATTAACTTTTTCGATAATACCTAAATTCATCCCCCATACACATTTATTCATTTTATAATCAGGAGCTAATTTCTCTAAATATATATATATATATATATATATAAGGTAAAACATAAATTTCTATATGTATATATATATACATATAGAAAGTCAAACCTTGGAAAGGAAGAAATACCTTTAATTTGGTACACAATGGACCTAAATGATTTTTAAAAGTTTTAATCAAGATCTAAAGAGTAAATTAAATTAAAAATAAGAGAAGTTTGGTTATGTTTCGATGTTACCTATACAATATAATAATATACATGTATAAGTTTCCATGAAAGTACAAGATGCAAAATCGGAATTGGATTATGAAATCGAAGTATAAAAAATTTGATGTAAAAGAGAGTTGGTCAATATTGGAATGTAAGGTAAGGCTGGTGGTAAAGACTAGCAGGAAACAGTCTTATTCAATCACTAATCAAAATTAATTATTAGAGCCGTTAAATGTTTTACTTCTTCCTTACTTTTATTTATAAAATTGAATGCTCAACTATATCAATTTATTTTTTATTTTTTTTTAATTTGAAACTTGGGGACATTTGTAGAATTTTCCAGAGACAAAAAATCTTTCTTCAAAAAGAAGAATATTTTTATAAGGTAGTGGAACATGCCACATCATATTTATAATAGTCAATGTGGGGTTTTTGCAATACCTAAAGGTAGCGTTTGGTTCAGGGAATGTTATATTATTGAGGAATATTGTATTACTAGAAAGATAGATTACTATAGAATCTTTAGAAAAATGTGTTTGGTCGGTTTGAATAAATTGATGAGTATGTTATAACAATATGTTTGGTTGGGAGGATAAATGAGTGGGTATGTTATGTAGATTACTAAATTACCATCATTTTAAAATAATAATATAATATTATTTTTATTATTATTTTATTCTATTATTTTTTAAATTTATTATTTTAACCCCCCTATATTTGAAATTTTATCAAAACACCCCAACCATATACAACTTTAATTTGTAGCAAAGTCACCCCCACTCACCCCAAACCACCGCCGACAGCCACCACCACCACCAGAAGCTGCTGTAATGGTGCATGACTAGCTGGATCTGGCTGGTCGTACGCCGATTAGGCTTAATCCGACCAGATCTGGCTGTGAATATGGTTGTTTCACGGCTAGATCTGGCCGTTAATATGGTCATTTCACGACCAAAGATGTGGCCATTTCATGGCCAAAGATCTAGCCTTTTCACAGCCAGATCTATGGCATTTTACGGCCACATCTGGTCGTTTCCGGTCATGGATCACAAATCCATGGTCGAAAATGTCCTTATCGGCACACGATCGGCAAGATCCTGCCGGTCTTGTGCCGATATGACGACTTTCGTCGGTGGCCAGCGGTGGTGGCTAGCAGCCGGCGGTGGTCTTGGATGATTAGGGGTATTTTGTTAACTTTTAAACTTTTTTGTGGCGGGGGTGTTTTAGCTAAGTTCTCAAATGTAAGGGGTCTGGATAATTGTTATTTGGTAGACATATGAGGGCAAATGTGTCTGGAATGATAAAATATTAAGGGCAAAATAGGGTAAAAATTATGATTACCCCGGTAATCTAACATTAACACCCCCTGAAAAGGTAATCTGATTACCCCCAATATTACCAATAGTAACCACTATTTGTAATAAAATATTACTGTAATATTATATTATTGACAACCAAACGAGGGAATCTTGAAAATTAAACAAAGATTACATGATTTATCTTATTTCACCCCGAACCAAACGCACCCAAAATATTTTTAGATAGTCAAATCATCTTCTTTATTTGTTTGAAATTTGGTATATATTTTGAGTATTTTTAGAATATTTCATGAATGATTATCTAAATGAGCTTCTATTCCACTAATATCAATAATAGAGATTAGAGTGTTCAAAGGCGGTTAACCAAACCGGTTAACCGCTTTTTTGAACCGAACGGTTTGGTTAA